CTGAGGGTTGGAGGAATTCGTGCTGTACGTGCTTGCCGGAAGGGTCATGTATGGGGGGAGGGGGAAAGAGGGAGCAGAAGGAGGGACCAAGCCTGAGTGACAGCTTCAGACTATCTGGTTAGAGCTCTCCAGGCAGCCAGAGCAGAGATAGTATCCAGACTTGCCTGCCCAGGGCAGGTCAGCAGCTCCCAGCACCTGCCCAAGCTTTTGTGCTCTGTGTGTGTGTGTGTGTGTGTGTGTGTGTGTGTGTGTGTGTGTGTGTGTGCACGTGCCTGTGTATATGTGTGCTTTGGGGTCTGTCTCTCTTTGCTTCCTAGGATCTGAGGCCAATGAGGAAGTAGGTTAGTCCCAGGAGGCAAGGTTCCACCGCCAGTCTGTCTTTGTGATGTCAGCACCTTTTCCTGAAGTTCTTGCAGGTCCCACCCAAGATTCCTGTGGAAAGGAGAGGTTGTGACTGACCCCAGCAGAGATGTCCTGTCCCACTGTCTCCTGGGGCTATAGGAAACACAGAAATTCTAAAACTATGCACCTGGGCCTGGCATAATGGTTCAATGGCTAAATTCTTGCCTTCCAAGTGCCAGGATCCATATGTGTCCTGGTTTGTGCCCCAGCAGCTCCACTTCCCATCCTTGTGGCCTATAGAGGCTGGCCCAAAGCCTTGGGACCCTGTGCGCTTGTGGGAGACCTGGAGGAGGCTCCTGGCTCATGGCTTTGGTCTGGGACGGCTCTGGTTGTAGTGGTCACTTGGGGAGTGAGCCAGTGGACGGAAGATTTTTTTCTGTATTTCTCCTTCTCTCTATGGGTCTGCCTTTCCAAGAAAAAAAAAAAAAACAAATTTTAAAAAAATTAAAAAATAGAACTATACACCTGGCAATTGTCATCCTGACAATTATGGCTGGGGTTGGAAGCCTGGCTTCATGCTGGGGCTTGGGACAGGTGTCTCAGTCAATTTAGCCATCAAAATGGGCCCAAGAAGACCTAGTTGGCAGGCCTGTGGACAGCCTAAAACGAGATGACAGTCCTGAGAGGCCTCTGGACACTCCTGACACATGAAAAGTGCTAGGTAAATCTTGCCCACGATTTCCTTCTCCCACCTGTTCTGTCCGTGGTTCACTGGGTCCTTGATCACCCTGAAGAACAGAAAAGAGAGAGCCCGGGAAGTGATAGAATCTACAGTCAACAGGCCGGTGTTCATGGCCAGATGGGTTACTTCTGCGCCTGGGGTAGTGCTTTCCTATCTGAAACAAAACACAAACCACTTCGTCCCTCTGCCAAAACCTGATCTAATCTTTCCCACCCACAAGTCAGGCTGTCCCAGAACCTGAACTTGAGGCTTTTCTCTTCTTTTGCCTGATGCTCTGGGTAGAGCTGGAAAGGGGAAGGTGGCAACAGATACAGCCAGACCAGTGATGGACAGAAATGGGAGCAATTGTCATTGCCTCCTTGAAAACGTCAAAATCAGTATCCTCCCGCCTTGTCCTAAGTCCTTTACTAAGCACAATTTGTGTTGGGTAGAGAACATGAATCGCAGCCATGGAAAGGAGTAAATCGCAACTATGGTCTTTTTATTTCTTCTTCTTTTATATTTAAGATTCATTTCTTTTTATTGGAAAGGAAGATTTTTACAGAGAAAAGGAGAGACAAAGAGAGAAAGATCTTCCATTCATTGATTCACTACCCAAGTGGCTGGAGCTGAGCTGATCTGCAACCAGGAGCTAGAAGCTGGGAGCTTCTACTGGTCTCCTACGTGGGTGCAGGGGTCTAAGGATTTGGGCTATTCTCTGCTGCTTTCCCAGGCCATAAATAGGGAGCTAGCTGGGAAGTGGAGCAGTTGGAACCCATATGGGATACTGATCCTTGCAGGTGGAGAATTAGCCAATTGAGTCATTGTGCTGGTCCCTTCATTCTTCTCTTTTCCTTTCTTTTCTTTTCATACAGATGACGGTTTTGTTCCACTATCTGTACCCTTCCTCCTCTGCTTGGAACTAGTCAGCAGTTGCAAAGGGCCAGTGTCTTCTATTCAGTGGGGAGCAGACATGGTGGGAATGAGTGGCTGGGCCAAGGGTTTGGGTAGGAGCTTGGGGAGTGGCCACAGAGTGGGAAGGGAGTGAAGGGGGAGCAGTGTGGGGGAAGTGAGTAATGGGTGGCTCAGAGGATGGAGCAAGCCACTGTTGAAAGGGAATAGCTATGCTCTGTGGGCAGGTGGGAAAATGTCTGGGAGCCCAGAGAACGCCGCTGTGCAATAACAGGGAAGGGACCCTGAGGTAGTGGTTTGCCAGAGATGAAGAACAGGATAGGCTGTGTGTTGGTGGAGGAAGGGCTGGATCTTGGGTCAAGCACTTCCACCAACTCCCTCTTCATGCCTCCGCCACTGGAAACAGCCTCAGTCCACTGGCTTGTCTTTGAACTCCAACAGGTAATATACACAGCTAACAGCCTGCAGGATGTGCGGAAAATACAGAGCCCTGGCCTCTGACTGTGCCCTAGCTCTGGAAGCTGCCGACCTGTGGCGGCTGCTGGTCTTTATCCAGTTCCCGTTCACTGATCTGGGCTCGCATTGGCCATGTGTTGCCACAGTCTTGCTCTCACTGTTGCATTGTGTGGAGCAGGAGGGTGGCCCACTGGAGAGATTTCTCACACTGGTATGTGGAGTCCAGACGGGATTAAGCAACCCCCAGCTCCAGGGAGAAGTCTGTTTTCTGTTGCGAGATCTGTTCCTAAAAGCGGGTATCAAGCCCTCCCTCAAGTCTCCGACAAAACTCAAGGACTGAAGATGGGGAGTTGGGTTGCACCTAAGATAGAAAAGGCAAATTTAAACTCTGATTCTCCTCGCTGGTAGTGTTTACTCCAACGGTGAGAAAGTTCCCTACGCTGGGTTTTGCTCCTGTCTCGTGGGCCAGGCAGTTTGGTCGGTGGTTGTCCTGTGGGCCGCTGTCTGGGGCAGACGCGGTTAGGAGGTCATCCTGACAATTATGGCTCAACTGAGGTGGAGGGAGCCGTCTAGGTTTGGCCCTCGGTCTGGAGTCCCAGGCAGCAGCACACAGCGATCTTGGCTCGGGACTCGAGGCTGAGGCGTGCCGGGACAGCCTAGGGGGTGTCCTTGGCTTTCCAGGGGCCGGGGAACCCTCTCTGGCCCGGGGGCGGGAAGACGCCGTGGCAGACTCTGTTCTGGCTCCACTGCCGCCTCAGCACTTTCTAATTGCAGTTCCAAACAACAACAGCCCGCCGCGGCCGTCATGGCAACAGGCCCCGCCTCCCCGGCCTCCCTGCCGGCACGCAGCACGTGACGGTGACGCCCGCGTCGCTCCCCCGCCCCTGGCGACGACGGGAGGGCAGAGAGGCGGGGTGGGGAGGAATGACGTGGGCTCTGTCGTCTCCATGGATATAATGCATAGACGTCAACGTCGCCACTGTTTGGAGTGTAACGTTCTCCGGTCTCCATGGGAACGTCAGGCGGCCAAACACCAGGCCCCAGCAACAGGCCTCCGATTGGCCCGAGGCCTCCACGAGGCGGTGCTCCGTCTCCCGCGCCCGTGTTGCTGTTATGGTTGTTGTCTCCCGCTTGTTTATTTCTCTAGCAGATCTGGGAGGCGGAGGTCTGGGTCCGTCGCCAAGGAAGGCATCCAGGAGCAAACGTGCTCAACGTGCAGCCTGCACTTTACGGAGGACAGGCCAGCGGTGACCGCGTCCCTGGTGGGTGGGGTTCAGGACCCTCAAGCCCCCAGCCTCATCATGTCTGAGAAAGGCCGTTTGTCCTCTCAGCCACATCCCGAAAGCCGTGTGGCCTTCGCAGGGACGCTTGTTTGGCCTTCCCAGAGCAGCTCCCAGGGGCCTTCTCAGAGCTGGAGCACCCATCCCCACCCCGAGGCAATATTTGGCAGCATTTCCCCATCTGGTCCTAATTCTGTTGAATGACATCATTGATCTGCATTCCCACCCAGAGATGTCCAGTATTTTTTTTTTTTTTTGGAGTGACCTAAGTGTATTTCAAAGAATCCCCAAGGACCTGGGTGGATACTTCTATTTATGGATTTATGGAATCTTACCCTTTTTCTTTGCCCATTTTTACTTCACCGCTGTGGATGGGGGAGGGTGAAAGAGGTGGCACTTTCTGTCACCTAAATAAAACAAAAACAACAACAACAAAAACAAATAAATTGAGGTCAGAGGTGGTGGGCCACGTAACAAGTTCTTGGATTTGTTGACCGTCGGTGGGAATGTGGGGATGCAGTTGAACATTCCGAATAGTATCCCCAAGAAACACTTTTCACTTAGCCTGGGCTCCCAGCAGTGAAACCTAGTTAACATCTGGCAAAGAGATAGCGATCTTGCCTCAGGGTTTTAATCAAGTCCTGCATAAAAGAATGTCTTAAAATCTTTGGTTACAGTGTCAAATATAACAATAAATCTTCACTAGCTCATGCACATACAAGTCTGAAATGTTTCATAAAAGGTTTCGATGACCCGATAACATGTTTTTCAAAAGCCGAGAGAGAGAAAAGGGGGGGAGGGAATGACACAAATCTTAAGTTTAAAAAAAAAATTACCTTCATAGATTGGGGTTGATAAGGAAGGGTCCTTGCCACTCTAGTCTCAGCCCACTAACTCCTTTCTTTCTTTATCTGGTCCAATGAACATCCTGCCGATTCCCCCTGCCCCCTTGATTCCCCCTGCCCCCTTGATTCCCCCTGCCCCCTTCCGTCCTTGGCCGGCCTCACAGCCTATAATTTCCTTCGGAGATGTGAGTGAAATTAAATGAAATTGGGAGCCTGCTTAATGCAAATAGAGCCAAAGGGCACAGCTCTTTATCATAATGAACTTCATTCTGATTAAGTCAGGAACTGCAAGTGCTTACTATTTACCCAGTAAATATATTAAATTGCCGGGCAAGTCTCCTGCCCGACACTGCCAGGGAATATTTGAAAGTCTGATATAAGATCATTTTTTTTAGACCATCCAACATCCCTTTCTGATTCTATCATCTCTCTTTGCGTTTCCAGGAATCTAGAGTGTCCTGGTTCCTGAGAGCCAGTCTGTTTGAGTGACACCAAAAGGAAGAAAGATGAAGCAATATTTACGTTGTATGCTGAGGCTGGCCCAGAGAGCGGGAGAAGTGACTGCATGACTCCCGGCATCTCAGCATGGATGAGAAAGGGGGAAGGTGGGAGACGAGAGTCTCGAAGTGCCCAGATCTGACTCCGGTTCTTGAACCAGAATTTATGATCATATCCAGGAGTATCACTTAGAACCTCCAACCTGCCATCCTTTCATTTTGTTAGATACCTACAGGACAGTGTGTGGTCCAGGAAACATAAGATAGATTATGGTTTTGGTAGTACTGTAAGAAGCTGTTTGTTTCAGATGTGTTTGTACGTAACGGTATGCATATGCATATGTGCACACCCATAGACAGACTTCCCATCTTGTGTTTTGGCCAGGTTGCCCCGTTTAGCTGACCGAATTCAATGTAAAGACCATGATATCCTTCTTTGCTGCTGACTTCCCCAAGCCATGAGACAATTAATCTCCCCAGCTGACTTCCCCTTTTATACAATGTGATCTGGAGAGCTCAGTAATCTTACACGTTTGAGTGACCCTCGACGAGTGTCACGCTTTGTGCTGATGAGTCGGCCCTGTGTAAACACCAAATGCCATATGGGGGCATCCCCCCAGGACCTCTGCATCCTAGTGCTGAGTGGAGCCTTTGTCACCATGTGTCCATAGCAGACTGGCCATGTCCCAGGCCCCGCTGCAGAGGAATGCCAAAGCACAGGTATACACACTCTACCTCTTCCTGCTGGAGGTCAGCGCCTCAAGCCTGGCTTTCTTTCTATGTAAACACAGAGATATTGCTATCTTTTAGGTTCCAGGTGATGGCCAGACTTGGTCAGTACTAGGGTCAAGGTGAACGGGAAGAATGTACTTCATGGGCTGAGTGCATGTCCACCCATGTGTGAGTGGACCTGTACCATGTCAAGTAGTGCTTCCTCATTGTCCCTAAAGTTTTATGACCAGGAATAGATTCCTTTGGATAAAGTAGGTAGTGCTTCCTGCAGTTCTTAACTTTTCAAATCCAAATTCTGGTCTGACACAGTGGCTTAACAGGCTAAATCTTTTGCCTTTGCAGGGCTGGCATCTCATATGAGCACCAGTTTGTATATTGGCTGCTCTACTTCCAATCCAGCTCCCTGTGTATGGCCTGGGAAAACAATGGAGGATGGCTCAAGTCATGGATCCCTGTAGTCATGTGGGAAACCCAGAAGAAACTCCTGGCTCCTGGCTTTGGATTGGCTCAGCCAGCAGATGGAAGATCTCTCTGTGTCTCTCTCCTTCACTCTGTGAATCTGTCTTCTAAATAAAATAAATTTTTTAAAAAAAATCTGAATTCTTGGGTGGACATTTGGCCTAGAAATTTAGGTGCTGTTCATACATGCCCATCCCACACTCGAGGGTTGGAACTCAATCCCCTAATTGGGTTCCTGGTTCCAACTTCCTGTTAACGCAGACTGCAGGAAGCAGCAGTGGTGGTTCAAGCAGTGGAGCCCAGCCAGCACACCGTAGACCTGGACTAAGTTTCTAGACCAGCTCCACCCTGATTCTTATGGGAATTTGTCAAGTGAACTAGCTGATAGGATCTCTCTCTCTCACTCACTCACCCTGCCTCTAAAAGACATGAAAATTAGAATAGGAATCCTCTTTTGGGCAGCCAGCTCCTCAAGTTTCATGCACATCAGGTTACCAGACACGTTTTCCCCTGGCAGATGAAATGGCATCATGCGTGACTTCTGGGTTCCTGCGAAAGTCTGAGAAATGCAATTCTGATGAGCCTAAAGGCGATGATGAACGTAAATCAAAGCCAGCCCTCACTTGGTGCTGTTGCTGACTGAGGATACTCAGCGCCCACCTGCAGACCTGTAGCTCCACTCATACAAGGAAGGGGTGGCTTCTTTTTCCATCCTCACCCTAAATTTTCAAACACATCACCGTTCCATAATCTAGAGGCTTCCATGCTAAAGGTACAAAGTTTTTTTTTTAATTAGTGAATTGATGTTAGTGGCCAAAATTTAATTTGCCATTGACTATCACCAACATTTCATTGAGTGGGAGATCATTTTAGCACTCAGAAAAGCCAGAAGGACATTATTGAAAGGACAGTCCATTTAAATCAAATAGATAAAATGGTATGATAGGTCCCTGCTTTGTCTTCACTTTTCCCATTTTTTAAAAAAGATTTATTTATTTATATTGAAAAGGCAGCTTTACAGAGAGAAGGAGAGAAAGAGAGAAAGATCTTCCACTTGTGGGTTCACTCCCCAAGCGATTGCAATGACCAGAGCTAAGCTGATCCAAAGACAGGAGCCAGAAGATTCTTCCAGGTCTCCCACGCAGGTGCAGGGTCCCAAAGCTTTGCGCCGTCCTCTACAGCTTTCCGAAGCGACAGGCAGGGAGCTGGATGGGAAGTGCAGCCAGGACCCGAACCAGCACCCATATGGGATCCTGGTGCATGTAAGGTGAATATTTAGCCACTAGGCTATTGCGCAAGGCCCTTTCTCATTTTTCTAACACTGCTCGGTGTCTTCTAAATTCATGGGTGGTGCTCACAGTGCCAAACAATAGATCAAGAAATCAAGGAGAAGTAACGACTTCACTTAAAATGACTTAATTTTTCTGATCACACAGGCTGCTTCTCACACTATTCATCTTGGGGTTGCTTCCGTGGAGAACAGCAAGGTGTTCTCCCCAGGAGGGCTTCCTGGTGTCGGGAACATACCAGTGCGAGCAGTTCTCTGGGCATGACTCCCACTCTGGGGCATAGCAGTTTGTTTTCAGTTGGTGGAGTCCTTGATTGGCCCATGCTCCATCTGCCTGAACACTTCTGGTTTTGCCTGGAGAGGCAGCATTACTGACTGCCCCAAGCTTGGTTCAGCCAGATCAGATGGGCCTGAGCGGTAGAGATTGGCATGGTTCCCAGAGGAAGGAGAACAAGCCTGCCTTCCAACTGGTGTCCCAGGCAGGTGCAGGAGACACTGGAAGAGCCAGTTTAGCTAGCATCTTGAGCAAGATTTGGCCCCTGTTTTTCCTGCTTTTTCCTGCTTGCAGTTTCTCTGGGCAGAAGTGGAAGTATTTTACACATTATTTGGCATCACCTGAACCCAGTGCAACCAGCATCACAAGAGTACATTTATTTCGAATGCCCAAGGTATTGAAAAACCAAAGCTATTTTATTGAATTCCAAGCAATACATGTATAACTAAGCTCCATAAAACAGAGTGTTGGTCTTACCAGTCTCTCCCTGGTAGGTACCTAGGGAAATAGTTAACTTATTCAGGTCACCAGAGCACATCTAGTGCATTGGGTGGAATAGTTAGCACAATTGTCCCCCATGGATGAGAAAATGATCAAGTCATTGTTTTCAAAAATTTTACTGAACCTGTTCAATCAAAATGCCCCCAGAATACATACACCTATATCACTGAATTGTGGTGAATAACGTACTATCTGCAGAGCGTTTAGCATAATTCCTGACCAAGCACTCAGTAAACACTAGCTATTATTGTTCCATTCATTCAAGTGTTTTCTGAGCAGCTAGTATGTGCCAGATAGTGTGGAATGGGTTAGAAAGTCATTGAAGCGTGAAATAGGCAGGGTAAGGTGTCTGCCCTCCTGGAGCGAGGAGGTATTAAATTAATTCAGCTCGTAGTATCAGGCCTTTGATAGGTGCCGGGGGTGCAGGAGGGGGCACGTCAGGGAACAAATCGAAGCTCCCAACCTTTGTGGAGCTTATCTGTTAGATGTGAGCCCAAATGCTTTCTCAATAAATACATGTTATGAAAACTGGCGGTCAGAGCTGAGAAGGAAAAGCCTGGGGTGGACTGAGGGCTCCTAACGCAGCCTTAGTACTGGGGCAGGGGGCAGTCTTCCATGTGGGTGTGACACCTGATGGTTGAGGTCTGGACAAGCAGTGGGCTGAATTGAGAAGTGGGAGGTGGGGCACTAACCCCTGCACCATGTGGGAGCTCACATTTCATTCTATGTCATGGTGCCCCTTCACACATATCCTAGATCCCGGGACTGCCAGATAGGAGAGGGTCCCTACGACAGGAACTGCAATTGGATTGGACTTAGTCTTTGGATCCAGGACACATGGAGTCCCTGACAGCTGACAGTCACTGCCTCAGCTTCTGCTGGATTCCATTGTCTGCTGCAATTAGTACCAAGGATGACCTCTTTAGAAACTGACTTCAGCTTCTTGCACTTGCTGTAATGGAAGTCACCCTAGTGCCCCCAGGAATGTGTCAGCATACATTTGCTTCCGGATTTGAATAATCACACACAGGCAGAATAATCAGCCACTAAGAGCTGAGCTCTGTGTGGCCCCCAACACACATCATCCTGTAGCCTGCTTTTCCCTCTGCTGTGGAATTTTCTCTCCTTTGAGCTTTAATGCTCTTCTGATGTTATTCCTATTTGCTAGTTTTCACAGCCTGGTTCAAATTCCAGCTATGAAATAGTTCACATAGTTCAGTGTAGACATAATATTTACAGGAACTGAAGATGAGTGGGTTCTGATAGAGGCTCATGGAACAGTCCCAGTGCAGTCAACAAGAGCAAAGAATTCAAGAAAATGAACACTTCTGAGAGTTCAGTCCCCCATACACTTCCCATACGTCCTTGAAAGTCACTTGAATCCTCTGTAAAGCTCAGCAGAATCGGAGGTGCAGGGCCCCGGGCTGGTGAGAAAGCCTGGTTTGTTCAGTGTTGTTTTACAGCACACATTCTAAGCTAAACTCTGTTTATTGTCAATAGCTCCCTAACAAAGGGCAAAATGGAATGCGCCTGTTTTCAAATTCCTGTGGAGGGAAAAAAGTGGGGGGCCCTGGAAGAACTCAGAGCCTGGTTTGGGGCAGCTTACTGGGCTATTTTTCAGTGCTTTTCTTCAAGATTCCCTAAGCCATGAGAGAGAAATCTTCCTAAAGAACAGTGCTAAGTGGGCAGCCAGATCTACGAGGGCTGTGGTGGCGTGAGAATCGGATACAACTGTCTGTATCCTGTTTCAAGTATAGGGTCAGCTAGGAAGGAAACAGAACTGGGAGTGGCTGGGAAATTTCCAAAATTGGCAGCACCAAACTAAAAGCCTGGTGCTGTGGCTCGATGGCTAAA